GAGTCTGGAAATAATCATAAGTCTCCTCTCGGCCGGAACACACACCAGCCGACTTTCTCTCACAACTTTCCCCATTCCACTCCTCAATCTAATGGCTCCCAGCCAAGTCTCTAATCCCAACCGAGCAAGCAACCATCTACCCGGGTAGTTGTAGACCTTCTTCTTCCATCCGTTGTTACCCGGCTCCCACCAACAATTGTATGTATGCTGTAATAAGAGAGAGAGAGAGAGAAATAACACAAACTTCATCCTCCACTCTCTCACTGATTTCCTTCCAAAACTTACCGGGAGGCAGGCAGGCAGACCCATTTTAAACATGGACAAGAACAAGACTTCACTTGACCAGCAGGCGGGTAAATTAGTTTCCGGCCCGAGGAAAAAAATTGGCACAAAATTTGGAGTTTTTGTGCATATTGTTGTCATACCTGTTCACTTTCATTCATTATGATGGTGAATGATGTGAATGAAAATTAAATTCCTGCCATTGGAATGAAAATTACTGAATGTAAGTGAAAATCTTAAGTCAGAAATCGGGATGACTGACTTTTGAATGAAAACTACATTTTTGAACAGGTATGATTGTTGTAAAGAGCCAAAGTTAGCTACTTCGGTTACGGGCCCAAAAAAATATATTTGCCTTACTATTTATGGATAAGCAAAACGCCAATGTTTATTTATTTGCGGAGTTAAGTATTATCGGGAAATAGTAACAGATGAAAGGTGAAACTTTCAGGGAAGATAATATGAAACTAATATGAAATTTGGAAATCAATTGATATTGCTGTGAGCACAATTTACCAAAAATGGATTAAAGTTAATATCATACTTATCCACTTGAACGAACTACCCCGCGCAAAAATTCGCTTTTAAATTTTTGTCATAAATTTGACATAACAATTTTGGCCTTTTTTTAAACTGAACTTGTTGAAAGTTTGTTTAATAGATTTAGCTAAATTTAGAAATGAATTGGCGACAAAAAATGGGCTAATATTCAGGTCTAAAAAATTTTTCTCAATTTTTCCCATAAATTTGGGAGCCAAAGAAATTTGTTTGTATGTCGGCCCCTGTTTTTAGTTAAGCTGGGGCTGCTTTTCATTCCAAGGTGGTCGGAGAATAAGACGGAAATAATAATGGAGTTGGTTCATTCCTTTCTTGGTCTGTTGGGGGAGTGCTGTGGGTTTAATGGGGCTTGTGTGCCGTCGAAGGAGGGGAGAAAGTAGCAGAGAAAGTCCATTAATGCCCGATTCCTTCCAACCAAATTCCTCTCCCTCTCTCCATTCTTCTCTCCCTCTCTCGCTCTCTCTCTCTCTCTTTGTAAAGTGCACTTTGGACACAAATGCAAACTAAAACTCTTTCCGATCCACACAAATCAGGGGGAAAGAAACGGCTACATTTTTTCACCGGGACGAGGAGGATGCCACGCTTAAAGATGTCTCGGCTCATACGTACGAGAAATTGGATACTGCCCCGAGTTTTGGCTAGGTTTTGCCATATTTTGCCATTTTGAAGAGATAAATGTTGCACATTTTTTTGAGTTGCATGGCATTCTAGTATGAAAGGCTTGGGTTGACAGAATTTTGGAAATATTTTGTCATATTTGGTCATATTTTTGTATATTTTAGCAATATTTTGGCATAGTTTGGCACGTGAAGATCTAAATGTTGCATATTTTTTATGATGGTTAATATTCGAGTGCATCTACCGCATGAAAGGTTCGGTCTGTCCCAAGTTCGGAAATATTTTGGCACATTTTTGCATGTTTATTTTGGCATTTTTATAATCCAAATTTGCCTAATCCTTTTCTGCTCAATATTAGAGTATGTCCACCTCGCGAGACTTTGGTCAGAATGAATTTTTGCAATATTTTTTGCCATAAATATTCTCCGTGCCGCAAGAAACTGCGTTTTTCCTTGTAAATTATAACAAATTTAGAATTTCTCCCTCCAATTTTTAAGAGTTGCTGCCTGTAAAATAAGGAGAGTGAAGTGAAGTGAGCCAGCCAGCCAGCGAGTGGGATGATTATGATGAGAGTACTTTCTTTCTTGTGTGGTTTTGATGCAAGCAAGTGAAATATTTGAGTTGATGTTAATGGTCCTTCTCTCTTCTCGGTCGTCGTCTTGTATTCATCATTTTTTTCTCTCTACCAAATGGATTCCTCCTCCGCTGCTGCTGCTTTCTCCGGGATGAGGATGGGACAACAAGGGATGTCATAAAAAGAGCCCATTTTTTCCATCATGCGTACGCAAACATGCCCCATTTCCTCCTCTATTAAGAGGATGCATTATGTAGCTCGAGTAATGGGATAATGGTCCACCAAAGTGTCATCTTTTCATGATCACGACATAGCTGGGATGATCATGGGATGGGAAAAATAATCGGGAAAGAGGCATGAATTTCGGGAGAGGAAAAGTTTTTCTCAAAATTTTTAAGCAAATATTTGACTTTGTGGAAATATTTTTGGGAAAATGCTGAAATTATTTTCAGTTTGGGAAATTTTTCACACGTTTAACTTTTCACGACAAACAATTTTCTCAAACTTTAGAACTGGGTAAATATTTAGCTATTTTTTCCTGTAAACACCGAAATTATTTACAGTTTGACAAGTTTTTTTTTAAATGTGTAACTTTTCTCGGTGAAAATTTTCCCCAATTTTCCATTAAAAGTTTGTTTCGTTGGACAATGGGATGAGAAATATATGTTAGAAAATGAATTTCTGTGGAGGAAAGTTTTTCTCAAAATTTGGAACTTGGCAAATATTTGTTTTTTTTAGGAATTAATAACGCTTATATTTCCAAATCATTTGGGTAGTCTGACAAACTGGGTACATTTACATATTTCAGTTGCTAATCCTGATCAGGTTTAGAAAATAAGTTAAAAAATGTTTTTTTAATGGTAAGCTTTTCTCCAAAATTTGGAACTGGACAAAATTTTCTAGAAATATATTTTCCCCGTATTTTTTTCTAAACGCTTACCGATTTATTTGTAATTTGACAAACAAAGCAAATATTTGGGCGACATTTCCCCCTTGTTTTTCACGAAACATTGCGCAATCTAATCCACTCCGATGACAACAAATCCTGATTAAGCTTAAATTGATGTTCGTACATGTTGTCGTCGCATTGTGTGTCTCAGATTTGGTACATGTGTAACTTTCCCATTAACACCTTGGGGACCTTCTGCTCCCCTTCTTATTTAGATAGCTCGCCCTGCGTAGCATGGGAGCTATTCAATTTCCTCGTGTCACTCCGGCAGTCTCTTAAATAATGAGTTGCTTGCATCAATTGAGGCTAACTAATTAAATGCTTAGGAATCGCACCTCCACTGAATAGCACTACTGCTAAAAATCTGGTAGAGTTAATACTTGCATCGAATTGGTAATAATTTCTTACCGGATTTGTAGTAATCTATTTCTTAGTGGTAAATTTGTCATTGTCACAACATTACTAAACGGTAATTCCCGTTATTATCAGTGCTGGTAGAGTCATACATATATATGTACTTCGGTCGGTATTGATTTAATACCAGTTTTCTAAGAGTGTATAATCGGTAATGCAAGCTAGTGCAAAACAATTTAAGTGGAATGGATGCAAAATGCGCCAAAAATAAAGAATTATTTGAACCATTGCTATCCAATAATCGGTGACGCAAAATAGCGCGAAACAAGTGGAAAAATCGATGGAAAACTGATGGAAAACTCAAAAAATGGCAGACTAGCTTGAAAAAAATTATACAATTTTGACCTCGCGTTTTCATTAAAAGTAGAAATTTTGTCAAAATAATGAGTCAACTTTCCCCACTTATTCTGCAAACCTTGATGTGAAGATGTGGTCAAAAGTATGCCAAAATATGGTGCGGATTTTGTCCAATTCGTCACCACCGTAGGTTAAAAAAAATATATCAAAACTATTTATTTTCGTGCCACTTCCAATGTTACTACAATTTATTCTGCTCCCGTTTCCCTTCCAATAACTAATTTTCACTTGATTACTTTTCCTCCATTCGTAATTTGTAGAAGCGAGGACGAGTGAGCGAAATTGTTTGGCCGGGTGAAAGTGAGACATTTGGAGAAAAGAGAGAAAGAAAACAAGTGGGCACTTTGCGGAGTGAAACATTTCCAGTCATCAAGGAAAAGAGAAAGTAAAATCGTTCCCGGCTTCCTTCCATCCAATAATAAAAATCGAATCCAATCCAACAACTGCGACCCAGCAGGGTGGGCCGTGCAGGAGAAATGGCGTTACTAAAATCATTACTGAAAATGGGAACAATTTTTTACCACTGAGTAAAAAAAAGAGATTTTTGAAATCCCGTTTTCGACTTTTATAATGATGAAACAGAGCTACGATTTATATACAATGAAACAATTCACGCAGTCCTTTCTAAATTTTTAAATATGTGCGTTTTGTAAAAAAAAGTCTTACAAAATAAAGAGGTTCGAGTTAGTTTACAAAAATTTGGAAGCCAATTTTCCTTACAAATATTTGTAAAAGTTTATAAAGGTTTGCAAATTTAAGGAATTTACGGATTTAACACAGTTACCACGCACTGCGTGAATTGCTTCAATTCATTGTTTTTCATGTACGAGAGAATTAGTTTGAAGCATTTCTTCGAAATTCATACCTGAATATCTTTAAAATTTTAGGCGACTTTATTAACAAAATTTTGTAAACTCTGCTTAAAGCAACCTGGGGAAAACTGTGTTGTGAAAATTTCGAAAAATCCGAATTTACAAAAAAATGCATTATGTAAAACGGATTTCCGCTCCCTTACTAACAAACAAATCCACCTCGCCATCCTTAACGCACACCCTTCCCCACCCAGCCATAGAATCCATTGTCTCCCCGACTTTAACTAGTTTTCCCAAAATGTTTCCTTTTCCATAAACTAAATCCAATCTCTTCCACTTTCTCGTCCACTTTTTCCCTAAAAAAAGAGAAATCCTTCTCCAACCCAACAAACAAGTTGAAGCAGTTGACCATTGTTTTTTCTTCCCTTATTTGCAGATCACCACATACATCGTGAGAAAAAGAGAGATGGACGAGACGAGGGCAACATCGCGGTCAGAGAGACAATTCCAATTTCCTCCCGATCTCATCCCATCCAGCTGAGTCGGGCGAAAATAAGGCGACTTCAAATCAAAAGAAGAAGAAAAAAACCGATCAGTTTCTACACCAAGCAAGCAATTTCCCAGCTGGGAGAAGAAGAAGTTGATCAAAAAAAGTATGGTGTGCTCCTCCTATAATTTCCTGACTTTCACTCTCAACACGCCTCATTGGCTGGGGAAGGAAGGCAGAAAAAAGGAAATGAGATTTCACTTCCAGGTAAAAAAAGACGGTGGGGGTCGGGCAGAAAGGATCACGGTTGGAGGCACGTAGTGCAGAGGTGAGCAAAATATTTTGGCAGGATTGATGCAATTTGCACAGTTCTTGGTAGAAAAATGATCTGAATTTATTTTTGCCTTGACTTTCTCTCTGCTAAAAAAATTAGACATGTTTGGAGCCAAAAGTTTAATTTTTGTTTTTCTATTTTATTTTAAATTAAACCAAGATTAGATAAAAAGCAATCGACAAATAGGCGAACAGTCAAAGTTTAAAGTATAATAATCATGTGAGTCACGCGGTCCCTGGTAACTTTGCAAAATCCGCAGGTAAAATAATTTTACATACTTTTACAAAATGAAGAGAAATCCTTGATCTGAGTAAGTTTACAAAAATTTGGAAGCAAGTTGTCCTCAGAAATATGTAGAATATTGTATAAAAATTTGTAGGTTTACACAAGTAAGTTTAGATTTTACACAGTACCAAGCACTGAATGAATTGTCTAGTATTTTGAGCTATTTCTTTCCAGGCTTGTATTTCCGGGGCTGTTACAAACGAGAATCTGCATACAACAGTCATTCGAAAATATGTATGGGGTTTATGAAATAATTAACTTTTTGTCGTGGTCAAAATTGCTAATTTTTAAAGTATCGTGGAAACAATGTAAATATTACCAATTCCTCCAACCAAGCTAGTTCTAATGCGAACTAGATTTTTGAGATTTCGTTCAAAAAATATTTTAAGTAAGAAATTTTCATTTTTTATGGACTTTTTAATTTTATTTTATTTACCTATTTGAACGCCATTTTACTAGTACATACCGTAAATACTCTATTTATAGCCGGGGCTAAAATCCAAAACTGGGTGTCACAGACCCGGCTACAATTAGAGACCCGGCTACAATTAGAGACCCGGCTAAAATTTGTTCCGCCGTAATTTTAGTCATTATAAAATTAGCGAATAATTAATGTTAACTCGATTTGAGTTATTTTATTTAGCAAAATATGACATCAGTTAAATATTCGCTTTTAATCTACTTTTTTAGACGAGGTTTTGTAGTTTTTAAAAACTTTGTGTTGTGATTATATGCATTCTTATTAAGATCTTCACACATAATTGGGTAAATTTTGACCTTATTCATTGATTAACTGGATGTTCAGTATTCTTCTACGATTGGGTATGAACGGGGACACAGCGAAAAATAGAGGCCATAATTAGATACCCGGTTATAATTGGGGACCCGGCTGTAATTAGAGACCCGGCTAAAATTTTGAAATCTTGGTCTCCAGACCCGGCTATATTTGGAGACCGGCTATAATTAGAATAGGGCTATAAATAGAGGTTTTACGGTATTTGGACAACTATTAATCGGTAAAAAGTACAAATTTAGATTACTACACGGTGTGCATCCGAGTAAAACGCAGCAATAAGTTTAAGTTTTAAACTTTTGCTAAAATTTATGTTTGTTTGTGAATTTTTACTTTGAATTTCCTGAATTTTAACTATGAAATTTACTTTAGCATAATTTGAACGCCATTTTGCAGATTAAAATAACTTTGTAGATATAAAATATATTATTAGATAAATGCTTTTGCTTCCATGAACATAATTTAAAGCAAAAAGTAGAAATTTTCAGAAATTTAAGAAACTTATACTAAAATTTATTTTTTACGAATTTATTGAATTTGAATTTTATTTTATTACAATTTGAAGTCCTTTTTACACATCAAAAACTGGTGACAAAAAATATTAACTAATTCATATAAAATACCCATCATCCACTGATCTTAATTACAAACATAGTTTATCAACTTTTTAATAAATTCAAAGCCGGCAGCAAACAAATCATTTGCACTATTTTATTAATACAAAAAAGGTAATTTTGTCGTTTTCTCATAAAATTGTATAAAAACTTTTCTCAGTGCGTTTGGTGGCATAATTTTACAGAATATGTTATCTACCAGCTAAGGCCTGCGTGAATTGCTAAAATGTATTTTGACAACGATAAAAAGTTAACTTCTTCACAAAACGCACGTAGTTTCGTGTGTCTTTTGTACGAATTGTAGTCTTTTTGTATTTACAACAGCCTTGGAACTAAAAAATACTGTATTTTGGCCAGCTCTGGACAGATTTACGTGTCAGAGAGAGGGGTTAAAATCCCCCAAAAACCTAGGTGCACGACCCTCCTCGGAAAATAAGTAGAGGAACGTGTAGTCTGGGAGAAAGTGGAGATTTTGAGCCAGGGGGAGAGCAATGTAGTGTGAAGTGAATTGGATTTGTGTGCTCCTCCGATATTTTGCCTGTGACAGTTTAAGCACGCTTACGTTTTCTCTTCAACTACATAAATAGTAAATTCCGTCGAAATCCTATTTCCCCGGTGGCGGAAGGCGAGGCAGAGATAACCGAACGCGACGTGGCCTTATCGAGCCTGCCACAACCACCCAAATCGACTTTTTATTACGAATCATTCACATTATTTGGGGGCTGATGGGGTTTTAACGTCCATCCACCAACCAAGTAAAGGGCAGATTTCGGCCGAAAACCGGCAAGTCAATGGGGAGGACTTGAACCCTTAAAAATGCTAGAAATCAAATTTTGTCCCGTAACCGGGAACCAAAATGCTCGACAAATTTTCAAGAAAACTTCTAAATTTCGATGTAAAACGGTCAGTAAAAATGCAGCAAATCAAATTTTCTTCCTCAACCGGGAACCAAAATTGTTAATAAATTTCCAAGAAAATTTCATAGCTGCGATGCAAGATGTAAAAATTCAACAATCAAATTTTGTCGTCTTTCCCAAAAATCAAAATCCTCGCAAAGTTACTAAAATTTTGATCATTTCTGGTAAAATTGTGCATTGAACCCTTAAAAATCAAACAAATCAGATTTTGCCCCCTCATTCTTAGCCGAATCGTTGATAAATTTTGAAGAAAATGTCTAAATTGCGATGTAAAATGATACCTTACAAACCAAATTTTGTCATCTTCCCCAAAAATCAAAATCCTCGCTAAATTACACCCAAAATTGTGTCCATTTCTATTAAAATGATACCAGAAATGTGGTCGATTTATGTATCTACATGGTCACTGAAAGCAACTTATTCCTTATTTCTTACAGAATTTCCAACTGTGTTTATCCAACTTGGTTGAGAAACGGCAGGAGGGAAAAGGGTTGGTTTGGTGTGGCTATTTAGTCGGTGGGTAACTTTAGTCGGTGGAGCCCGAGGCAGGTAAATAATAGTACTTTTGCTTCGTATCAGATTATTAACAGAGTCAGAAATATGGGAGAACGAAACTTGACGTAATTTCCTCTCCGCTTCGTATCACGTCCTACCATCTTTCCCCAGCAAAGTCTCCTCCACGGGTGCACACATCTTCCCCATTCCGTACATGCAAGATATCAAATTCCACGGCTAAATGTTTAACGGGATCCAGGGTCGCAGGCACGATGGAAAAAAATGTAGAATTTTTTTACAAGGTTTTCAGTAACCTATAATCTTTAAAGTGGAATCAATTTCATGAACTCTAAGATATACATACGTGCAATTTGCGTTAGTAGATAATTTTTAGCACTGCATGTACAAAACTATAGCTCTTTTTTTAAAAAAAAACATAAAATTTCATGCATTTACCATTTTTTAGAACAAAATTTCTCAAATAATTGAGAAATAACATGAGTTTTCGCGTCAAGTAGAAGTTCACTGTTCAGTTGCAAATGCGAATATTTAGCATATACAAAACTATGCTTTTGAAACAAGAATTTCTTGAGTTTGTCATTTTTAATAATAAATTTCCTTGCAAAATTGTAACAAAACCTTCATTTCTCTGTAAAAGCATGAAATTTATTCCATTTTAAGCATCCACTTGTTCATCTCAAGCGTATGATCTTCTCATCCCAACCCCATCCTTTCCGCACAGCCCCTCCGCTATCTATTCTCTCCTTTTCCAAAAGTTGTCTCACCTGCCTCAACTTTTTATTTAGCCTGGCAACCCAGTAGTGCAAACTAGACGAGCTGTTGATTGTCCTTGGAAATCAAAGTTGCTCATTTCCTTTTATTTTAAGACTGTGGAATAAAAGGGAAACAACACCTTTAACCTCAACCCTCCATATAAACCATCAAATCAATGACATGTCGTCCCCACCAAACGCCTTATTTTACGTTTATATTTCACCACCACCACTCCGACTTTATCTTGACTTTCACTCCGCTCGCCCTTTTGACCCACTTTATCGCAACGATGCGAAGTAAAATGAAAATGAAGACTGTTTTTACAGAAATACAAAATTTCTGAATTTATTTACTTACTTTTGTCTGTCGACTTTCTCTCTGCAAAAAAATTTTGGCTTGTTTGAAGTCAAAAGTTGAGTCTATTTTATATTTGAGCAAGTAAACAGATTTTGGTCAAATTTCAAAGTTAATTTTCGTTGGAAATATTCATAAAATTTTGTAAAAGTTTGTAAGTTTACGGAATAGCAGTCTTAAAAATTTTGAGGCAAATCACGCAGTCCTTAATTGGTAACTTTATAAAATGTGTAAATCTTGTAAAATAATTGTACAAACTTTTACAAAATACAAAGACCCTTGATCTGACTACGAGTGAACTTAAAAATGATTTTTTTTACCTATTTAAGCTATTTTTCCTGAGAAGTATTTGTAAAATTTTTGTAAGAATTACAGAATTTACTATGTCACCGACGACGATCGCCTCATGTGACGTAATTATAAATAAATTGAACAAGTTCGAAGTCAAAAGTTTAATTTGTGGAAATTATTTAAATTAAACAAACTAACCAGATAGTGTAACATGACACTGGTAACCTAAAAAAACTAAATGTTTCTAAAACTATAAGAAAATAAGCAAAACATAAAGAATTTGAGTTATTAAGGAGAAATCAGAGGCAATTCACCCATTCCTTTGTAACTTTGTATAATCGATGCGTTTCATAAAATAATTCGACAAGCTTTTCTAAAATATAGAGACGCCCTTGATTTGAGAAAGTTTTTAAAAATTTGTAAGCTAATTTTCCTTTGAAATATTACCAAACTTTAAAAGAATTTATGGATTATACAAAGTTACCAAGACCTGCATGTACAAACAAATTGAGTAAGTTTGGAGTCAAAATTTAATTTTTGGATTTTTATTTTGAACAAGATATATAAATAAATATTTTACGCTTTTCGCTTTGGTTGACACTTGCAAGTAAAAAATCACAATTTAAAAAGAGTGATGTTTCCACCAAAAAAGATTCACTACCGAATATACAAATTAATGAAGATTAATCACAAAAATAAATAAATTACAATTCCCATTTACTTCTTGTATACCTTTCTTGTCTTCATCATTCAATTAAATACAAGTTTCCCCGTCTGTGCAAAATGCGTATAAATAATTTCGCTAAAAAGTATGCACCCCATTTTTTCTATCTAACCCATAAATAACAAATTCTTGTTCTTAAATAATTTCAGGTGGGGAAAAAGCCTCTCAAAACATGACAGTGTCTCATTGATAGAAACTTTATATCTTGATTCAGTTTTCCCAGGTATGCAAAAACTGTAAATATTTGTGCAAAAAAGTATACATGCCATTTTTTCAGTCTAATCAACAACTAATCCTTCTTCTTAAACAATTACAGATAGGAAAAGCCGGTCAGAACATGATACTTTACTATTTTCGTCCAATTTACCGTAATTTTTTGCCTTCATCACTTTTCCGTGTGTGCAAAACCTCCAAACATTGTGCAAAAAGAGTACACATGCCATTTTTTAAGCTTAAATAACTAATTCTTCTTCATAAATAATTTCAGCTGGGTAAAAAGCCGGTCAAACCAAAAACATGACAGATTGACCAGGAAGAGACGACCTTCGCCTTGCAACAAAATAAGCGAACTGCATCCATCTATAACGTGTAGTGGAAATACATAAGACCGACGACCGACGCCGCGACTTGAGCCTCTGCCATGCCACGCCACTTGAGAGAGGAATAATAATAAACATAATAATAATACTGAAAATGCAGCTCGTCTTGATTAGATGTGATTGTCATGAGCATGGTCTAAATAAAACCTAAAGATGCGGATTAAGATAACCCACACACCATTCAATCCAACACCACGGCCACCACCGCCACTTGACTCCAACCAAATTATCACATCAAACTCCAATCATTTGTTTATCCCCAATCTTTACGGGCTCATTTCATAAATGCCCAAATTTTATCGACCCCTCGTTTTCCCGACAACCAACCAACCACGGGTTATTTATTCATTCATTCATTTCGGGTATACACGTTTAGGGGAGGATTTTGCAAGGAATTTTCACCGTGCAAATTTTATATGAAAAAACTTTATGCTCTGGATTTACAGGAATTTTGGAGAATGTTTTCACCCCTTTGTTGCATATTTTTTCATAAACTTGGAGAAAATCGCATCCTAATTTCACCCTGAAGAAGTTTCACGTCTTTCTCATATTTCCAAGATTTATGCAAAATTTATATTAATAACTAGATCAAATTAGACTACACAAAAAAGAATTTTATTTACAATATTTTTTTTGGACACAATTTTTACCATCAATTTCATAATTCTTTAAAACCTCACAAAAATGGAGAAAATTGTGTGCAAATTTTTAATATCTCTTGACTCTTTGCTCCAAATTTTCCATATACAGATAAATCTTTCCATAGTCTACATTTACAGGAATTTTGGACAATATTTCCACCCAATTTTCTACAAATGTTTTCACAAAATTCAATAAAAAAATCCTTCAAATTTCACCCTGAATAATTTTGACAAAATTTTCACCTCGAACCCTATCAACTTTATAATCCTTCAAAAACTGGATAAAATCTAGTCATAATCATTCCCTCATAAATTGAATTTTAGCCCAAATTTTCTTTCCCTTCTTTTTCCTCAAAATTTTTCCATAATTTTATTTTTGAAAAAACTCGATTCCATAATCGCCTGATCCATAATCACAGTCATTCCGCAGCTGTGTGTTGCTGTTGTTGTTGTGTTATAGCCATCAATTATTTTATCCTTGTGACATGGCATGCGTGCCTGTAACCACCTCCACCTTCACATAAAGCGCAATCAGTCACAAAATTTCGTAATTACATGGATTCTGCTGACTAATCAGACAGACATCCGCAGACATTGGCTGGCTGGCTGGCTGCCTGCTCATTCATGGCTTTGAAGTTGTTGTCCTCCTTGTTTTTTGGAGGGGCATTATGTACATATAATGAGCACTTTGTAATTACATACACGGCATGAATCATGATGTTGCAATGCAACTCTTTCACCAGAAAATAGACTATGTACATGACTGCCCAGGGGAGAGACGCGATCCAAATTCCGTACAAAGACAAACCCCATATTTCAACAGCAGCAGAAGCAGGATCATCATGAAAGTGGGACACTCTTAAAAATCTGGGGAATAAAATCGTTCGGGAAGCAATTTTTGTGGAACGAAATCATGTGAAGAAAATTTCATAAAAATGTCGATAAAAGATTATATATTTGGGCTCAATTTTTCCCCTAACTTTAATTTTACTAGCAATGTTTACTTATTTCGCATCTCGAAAATAATGGGGTATTAAAATGAGATTTTTGTCAAAGGAATTTGCCAATAATGATAATGTCTAAAGTTAAATAATAATACAATATTTTAGATATACAGGGCATACTTAAAAATTTTGGACTGGTTTTATTTTAAGTGTTAACAAAAATATTCATGTAATAAAATAAATCGTAAAATAATGAAGCAATTCACGCAGTCCTATGTAACTAACTTTGTAAAATCAGTACATTTTGTGCATGAACTTGCAAAAATTTTAGAAATATTTCCACCTTCTACATTTTTGTAAACTTGCTTGCTCAGAGATAAAGGCGCCCCTTTATTTTGCAAAAGTTTGTAAAGCTATGCTACACATATAAGCTACATATTTTATAAAGTTACCAAGCACTGCGCGAATTACCTTCCTCAAAATTTACTTTCACTGTAACCTTAATCAACTAAATTTTACAGAATTTTTACCCCTTTCCTAGACTCCATTCCCTTAAATACCACTCTCCCAATGTAAATTAAGTAGCTAGCTCTTTCTTCATAAAATACCAAACTCCCCCAAATTTCTAAGAGTGCCCAAAGGCTTCGACCGTCCCCATATTATTATTATTATTTCCACTTATTCGTTTATGTATACAATTGAATCGGACCAATTATCAAGATTAGAGAGGTCCACGAGTACATGGCTCGCTCAATAATTCATTTCCACTAGCATTCAGACCCTCGCCTATTCCTCCACCAATCCCGGCCCACATTCCAATCATCCTAAAAATTGTTCTACTTCATTTTTTTTACACAAATAATTGCCCAGACCAGAGCCGACTTGCTTGTGAGAGAATTAGATTTTCTTTCCTTCGTGAATCCAATCCAATCCAATCCACCTTCTTTTTCGAAACGAAGGAAGGAAAAGAAGAAGAAGAAGGAGGTCGTAAATAAGGTGAGGCTTCGTTTCCGAGGGAGGCGAATTCTTGGACGGACTATAAATTCAAAAACGAATTTACTCTCTTGTCAAGCCAGACCATTACATATTTCATCCCGACTGATTAACTCATGCGGCTTAACGAACCTCATAACGTGCACGGGGCAGGGGGCCCAGTTTTTAAGGTGTAGGTTCACCAAGGAAAAAGCGAAATGCTTAATGTAGAGCCCCCGAAGTAACGGAATCTTCTTGGGGTTTGAGATCAATAATAAATTGAAATCGTTACATGTACGAAGGAAGGCAAGGAACGAGTTGGTTCGATTTTTAATGCGGCGTGACGGCTGAAAAAAGTGTGAAAATAAATATGTATCCGTAGTGGTAATAACCAAGTTGCTCGTTAATGAAGTAAGTCTGTCGTGATGATACTACTCATTGTTGCCTTATTTTCATAATATTTTTCTTCTCGGGATGAATTGTGTGACACGGGGATGATTTGAGAATTGAGGATCCAATTATTTCTGCAGGGATGAGAGTGAGACGCGCCTCCTAAATTATTTGCGTTGAGAAAGTTGGACTCATTGTGTGCATGTGCATTCATTGTGCAACAAATATTTATCTATTTCGTGTCGATGCAAATTAACGGGTCAAGTATTTACTATGATCTGGTGCTGGTCAAACTCGTTACCAACTTGGTTACAAAGTTGTATCCATTTTTTGGTTAAAATACCTTGATACAATAGACTCTCATCCATGGGGGAACAATGGGATACAAAATTTCCGAAATTCCATGGCACATTTTTATTAACAAAATTTTTGCCTTTTTTCAATGCTCCAATTTTGAACATCTTTTATGATAAAATACTGTCCAGAGACTTGCACCATGAAGGAATAAAAAAATTCTCAAGGTCCGAAAACCACCCTCAATTTCTCGTTACCAAGTTCATAAACAAATTTCAGTTTTTTTAATGTCCAAAATTTTAAACATCTTTCACGATAAAATACTTCCAAGAGAGCTTCCCATCCACGAAGGAACAATAGTATACAAAATTTCCAAAAAATTCCACCCCACAAATTCCCAAGTCAGTTGTTCCCCTTACATTCATGTCTCAAGTTCCCTTCCGTTCCCGTCCCCGTTTTTCTGAACTCAATAAAAAAAGAAGAACGTTCTTTTTCTCTCTCTTTCTCAATTTCTTTCTCTCTTTTTTTCTTTTTCTTTCCGTAACAAATAAATTGACACCGGGTGGTCTGGTGAAAGTGCGGGTGGGTCCGGTGGAGGCAGCCGTCTCGTGGGAGTCGTCACTTCTGATTGGAAACAGACAAATATCAAATCGAGGGGAAACAAGAAGATGAGAAAGTTCTCTCAGGAATAGCAAACTTTGCACAAAAAGAAAAGAAAACGAGGCTGGAATTCTTAAAATGTTTCTTCTTTCCTCAACAAAATTCAACTTTCTTCGCTTTTTCTCAAATACACACTCAAAAATCGGTCAGATTTTACCGGAAATATTATGTTGCATGTCTCCAAGGCTCATCAAGTTCTTGGTACATCTGTATCAGTCTGTCAAGTTTGTTTGCTAATGGGACAAATTTGACGACCAAATTGGTCAGTTTTTGTAGCCAGTTTGGTAAACTTTTGTGACGAAATTGGTAAAATTTTGTGACAGAATTGGTAAAATTTTAATTCGCTCGAATTTTGTTATTAATCAGTCACCAAATTTGTTGTCGAATTGGTAAAATTTTGCTGTTAATCAATCACAGTTTTATTTACCAAATTGGTAAAATTTCGTTGCTAATTGTGCACCAATTTGTTACTAAATTGATAAAACTTTGCTGCGCAATTGTCAAATTTTATTCTAAATCGCTAAAAAATTTTCTCTAAATTCATCAAATTTTACTCCAAATCTATCACAATTTTGTCCCTAAAAGACCCAACTTTACCACCCACTCCTCAAATTTCGTCACCAACTCGGCCCAAACCAATCCCTTGCTCTCCTCACAAATCTCTTCCTCCATTAAAAAGTGTGCTTGTCTCTCCCCGTCGAGAGAAAGTAGAGAAAGGAATTATTTACTGAAGACCACACCCCATCCTCCGCAGCCAGACAAGTTTCTCCAACTTTCTCCATTTTCCTCAGCTCTCTCTCTCTCGAGGAGAAAGTTTCTTTTTCTTTCTCCTCCGCTGAGAGAGAATTAAAATGAATGAAATTCTGTCCACATCTCACATTCGCTTCTCCACTAAATTGGATTTCTCGTCTCGAAACTTTCCATTCCGCCCCAAATAAAACTCCATCATCTCCCAGAAACCAGTTTGTAGTCGAGACTCGTACCCAGAATTTCGGGCTCAGAAAGTGTAATTCACCACTGCTCCGAAGAAAGGGGCCCCCGTTAAGGGTGGGGCACCCTTAAGAAGTAAGTTCAAGTCGGGGTAAATCGAGGACATTGGTTTTGCAGGGTCCGAAAAGTGGAAGGAACGCGAGGAGCGAAGGAGAAGGAGCCGTTTAATTACGAGAACATAACATGAGCACCATTTCCTAATTAACCTGTCATCATTCGATCCCATAAATTTCAATTACGTCTCCAAAAACGGGAGAAAACCGACCTCCTGTTGCCGCCAGGGATGATTTCTTGAAATTGTGAAATAGAAAAAGTCTAGAGTTTATGAGAAACTTGAAAATATTTTGGGGTGGAATTTTAGAATGAATTTCAAATCTCAAATTTTCAGAGGTATAGAAATTCTAGAATTTAAGGCTTGAATTGAAGTCCAAATTTCAATTACATTACTAAAAACGAAAGAAAACTGGCCTCCTGTTGCCTCCAGGTTTCCAATCATTACTCAAAATTGTTCAAATTTTGTGAAATAAAAAAGTCCAAAATTTCACAAAATAAAGTTTTCAAAGTTTTAGTATTCAATTTTATCATAAATTTTAATTCTAAAATTTTCTAAAATACATAAAACACTCCACCCTTGAATTTAACCTAAAACTTCCATAACATTTCCGAAAACTTGAGAAAACTGGCCTCCTGTTGCCTCAAAATTCACTTCACAAAATTCTCAAATTTCTGTCTAGCATACACACACAAACTTTTTCGTGTTCCAAATTTAATCAAAAATTCATCCCCCGCATTCTTTCAAGAAGGGAGACTGGGAATTAATTATAATATTTCTTCCTTAATGAGTCCTCTCTTCTGCGGTTGCATGGAAATCATGAATTTCATAAGAGGAGCCGGAGACGGAGCGGAAATTTAATTATTTATCCGGCAATAAGTACCAGCAGAGAGAAAGAGCAAGCCGTGTCATTAATTTCTTGGGAAGGGCGCATAATATTATGCAATCCGCATCCACCAGTGGCCGCGGAAGTTGGGGGGACATGGGGACGTTAGTAAGTTGAGATAGAAGGAGGAGGGGCTTATTTAACATGAAAGATCATACCTGTTCACATTCATTCATTTTACTGATTATGATTGTGAATGATAGTGAATGAAAATGAATTTTCTGTTTGTTATTTGAATCAAAATGACTGAACTCATTTCAAATGAATGACCGTGAATGAAAGGATTTTTCACTAATTTCATTTTTCACCCTATGCTTAACGCATGGGGCGAAGCAAGAAATGAAGTCCGATGAAGTAAAATGAAATGAACTTGAATTTGAAAGAAAATAACTGAATGTGAATGAAAATCTTCAGCCAGAAATCGAGATGATTGACTTTTGAATGAAAACTAAATTTTTGAACAGGCATGGGCAAGACACGATTTTGCTGAATTTCTGAGCGAGCCATGTCCCCCTGCTTCCGCCGCCAATGGCATCTAAAGACGCCTGGCATCCCAAAATACATACTCCAATTTCGCCTCGTATCCACAAACCTGGGCGGCCCGAGTATGAAATTCATTTGTGGAACGACACCTTAAAATTAGACCCAGACTCGCATTCTCCTCTTTGTTCGAGGCTTTTAATTAAAATATAATTCATTTATTACAACGACGAGATGTCGGCTAAAATCTTATTTCTCGGGAAAGAATTATCGCTTCAAATGTAATCTCGAAATCCGGAGGAAAGGTCGCTTCTCAAAATAAGAAACCGACCATTTTTTCGAGATATATGTAAATTTGCCGAAAATAACTATAAAAAATAGACAGATAAGAGGGCAAAAATCTTGTACATATTTCGCATACCAAAAATAACGGGAGATGAAAAATATAATTTTTGCAATACAATTTGGTGAAAGAATTTGCCAATATTAATAATTCTTAAATTTTAATAATGCTTAAATGTTCTGATAGGTGCATAGATGTTGGGATTTGTCATTTACATTAATGGTATTATGTACCTGGTATTTTACCTATAGAAATGTAATACTGGAGAAACTAGCAAAAATAAATAAATAAATTAGCAAGTCCACGCCGTCCTCCTTCGTAACTTTGTAAAATCGGTGCCTTTTGTAAAATAATTTTACAAACTTTTACAAAATAAAGAGACGTCCGAAATAAGTCAAGTCAACCTTTATTCAAGTATAAATAGATATCAGATTACAAATCTTGCTTATAATCCGTTACACGTATTGACTATAAGATTTGTAAGCAAGCGTTTGTAAGCCCTTGATTTGAACAAGTTTACAAAAATTTGGGAGCTAATTTTCCTTCGAAATATTTATAAAATTTTGCAAAAGTTTACAGAGTTTCTCGAGTTCTCGGGTCGGTGAGTTGCCTCTCTGTCGCAATTACAAAGAACTCTAAACTGGGCAAGTTTAGAGTCAAAAGTTTAATCTTTGTGTTTTTATTTTATTCTTTACGAACCAAACAGATACGATCAAAAAAGTGGAAAAATAAATATAATCAAACAATTTAAATTTAAAGAATATTGAAGATTGATAATAAAGATAATATGATAATAAAGAATTACAAAAATTGTGAGCTAATTTTCCTCACAAATATTTCCAAAATTGTGCAAAAGTTTACAGAATTTCCGGATTTTACAAGGTTGCCAAGGCCTGCGTGAATTGCCTAAATATATTTTTAACCAGCTATTATTATTTCCCCCATGACTCCAGTTTTCCTACAATTTTATTTTTTAACAAATAAATAAAACTCTTTTTTCATTTCCAGTTCTACCACACCACCGCTGTGCTCATGATGAGCATTCCCATGGTCACATGCTAAGTGTACGTACATCGTGGATCGAGAGACCTGAATTTCTAAAATTAAAAGGGACCCCTCCAACCAAACCTAGTTCATATCCCAAATTTTGACCTGACCTTGCCGTCCATCAATTACACACAAAAAAAATCCTGGTTGGACGCCTTACTAACAATTGAGGTCTCCCAACGTATGCTCACCGATTTGGACCAAACTAGCGTCAATCGATCCAAAACATAATTAGTACGAAATTTGCAAATGGAACTATCTGTAAATGCTCAAGTTTAGCGGAGATATTTGCATAAAAAGAGGAGAAAAGCACCCCCAAGGCTGGCGAATTTTCCAATTTCCAAATTTGCTCCGCATTTTCCCTGCTTCGGATGCAAATATCTCCGCCAAACCTGCACATTGGCAGATAGTTCCATTTGCAAATTTCATCCTAATTATTATATTTGTGATCGATTGACACTAGTTTGCTCCAAATCTGTGAGCATACGTTGGGAGACTTCCATTCTTAGTAACCCCGCCTGTACAAAAATTACATCCATCCATCCTGCAAGGTCCCTTGCGAGAAGGAAAAGTAGAATTCCTCCAAGTGCCCCCAGGACGGTGGAAAAGTCTCTCATTATGAGCCATTTAGATTCCGAGGAGGGCCGGTCTCTCTCTGTAATCAACCCTTTCCTACTTCTCTACCTTATTTCTTCTCCTTCCTCCTTCAACAATGGGCACCAGAACCAGAACCACCACCACTACCACAACAATCATCACATATTATTATACAACGCCGCGGGGAAAACAATGGCCGACTGGTAACAAAGACAAAACCAAACCCTGTGCACAAGCAAAGTACCAATTATTTAGTAAAAAAAAAGAGTAGAAACAAGGACGAAAAGTGTAGGATTGGATTGGAATCGACGGTAGGTTTCTATTTCTTCATAATAAATCATTAAGCGTGAAGAAATGTTTGGGTGAAAATCTCAATTTCTGAAATCTACACGATTTCCGAAAAAACAAGATACAAAATTCTGTATAAATCTCAAAGGGAAAAATAAACCTTGAAATTGACAAGTTTTCTGAAATCTCTGAAATTTATATGCTTTCCAAATTTATTATAAAGTTCGGGAAAAAATCAGAACTGAAATTATCAATCGAATTTACTCCATCTAGGAATTTACAGTATTTTCAATCTCTGAAATCGGCCCGACTTTCAAAAATGCAAAATTCTGCATGCATTTCTGAAATCCCTGAAATTATCAACTTTTCTGAAATCCCTGAGATTTACATGCGTTCCAAAATTATTCTAGATATGCACACAAATCTCGTAGAACAACTAAAACTGAAATCAATTCCTAAAATCTACAAATTTACACTTTATTCTTCGTACGTAAATTTCAAAACAAACCTTCAACTTTTTCTACCTAATCTCTAAAATCTACGCCGTAGCAGCCAACTTCCAAATCTGCAAAAATAGACGGTACTTATTCGATCCCGTCTCAGATTACAGATTATGTCATGATTAATGTCCCCGTAATTTCATACCCGCCCAGCTACACAAGCATTGTTTATCATGCCGAGTAAAAAAATATAAGTGGATTTATTTCCCAATTAAAAGCTCGGTCGGGTTGCAATTAATTATTCCTCGAGAGAGCGCATAAAAAGAGGTGAGTTGACTCCTTAAGAGACCGGTGAATAGATTAGATTACAATCGCAACAAACCGACCATCCAACTTTTGTTTTCTTCTTTGTCACACAAAATAATTACAATTTTCTTCTCATGATTGCGTTTCATGCCATAAAATCGCAACCCACTCGAATAAGAAAACAACTTATCCACCCGATTTTTTAACAGGGAGGAGGCGACCTTAACTACCAATCCAATCCAATCCAGACTCGCAACAATGTCACACACAGTTAAAAATCCTATCAATCCCATTAACTTGGCAGGAGGAGTGCTCCTTCAGATGAGACATCTCTAATTTTAATGACTCCAATAAAACCAGTTTCCATCCATTTTAGTCATTGTCATTACACATTCGAAATCTGAAGAGATAAAAGGACGACAAGAAGAAAACAAGAAGAAGCACTTTTGAAAATGCGTAACGAAATTCACATCAAATCCAGTCATAGAATTTTATTTTATGCGTTTCATTTCATTCCGGCTGGAAATGAGAGTCTCAAAAACTGTGTCAAGAGAGGAAAAGGTCTCAATTTAGGTGAGAAGTAATAACTCACTCATTCTCAAGCTGCTTCTAAATAAAGAAAAAGAAAAGAAATGCCACCTTGATTGACATCTCAAAAAAAAACGGCAAAAGTGCCGTTACTGAAATATTGTTGTCTTATTTTCAGTGTCCAAAACTGTCCAGTCCCGTTAGTTTCCCGGCGTATTTAAGTAATGAAGACCTTTTTTTCTTGTTCTCTTATTCCCATAAAAATCCAGTTCAGGTAAAAAAAATCCACGACTCGATGAAAACCTGAGTAGTGGTGGCACGAATTTCACACAGGGCTTGGTAACATTGTAAAATCCGTAAATTTCTTAAAGTTACGAACTTGTACAATATTTCACCAATATTTCGAAGGAAAATTAGCTCCCAAATTTTTGTAAACTTGCTCAGATCAAAGGGCGTCTTTGCATTTTTTAATACTTTACAAAACTTACGGATTTTACAAAGTTCCTTATGGCTGCGTGAACTGCCTCTTTGTGAGACTATCGTTACAGTTTAGGATGGAGTTTTGCAAATTTGTTCATAATATTACAGGACTTTACGTAATGCGTAAATGATCTGCGATCTAAAATTATTTCATATATGAATTTATCAAGTTTTGCATTAATTGACGCTCAGATCTAACAAATTTTAAAAAATGCAGGTTAATTTCGCTTTGTAATCTTTGTAAAAATTGCGTGATTTAGCTCATTAGGAGAGACTGAAGTTACAAAACTATGGGAAAACTGGGCAGATATTTTAGAAAACATCATCTTTGTCGGAAATTTACTATTCTCTCGTCTTAAAAATAGGTCAGTCATCTCATCATCACATTATTGTCACCAATCGCCCGTGTAGATTTGACCTATTTTTAACTAACCAAAAGCCTTGCACGTTTCTCTCCTTTTTTTACAACCCAACAATCCCATCAGGTACTTGGAAGGGGAACAAAAGGGTAACAATGGCGGGGTCATGATGTCCTTCGATCATCCGTGATCATCATCGGTATACACGACAATAATGCGGCCATAAAAATACTTCGACCTCCAAAGAGGTAAGAATTTGTCCCCATTTTTAACCCCAAAACTTTGCTTTGTTTTCTCTTTTTTCACCCAATTTTCAGTCCAGTACTGGTCCATCGGCCAACCTGGGAAGAAATTCGTCCCACGATTTTAATTCTCTAAAAAATTATCAAAATTCTGGTTGGACTAATTTTGTGCGACTTGTGTTTAAGAAAGTTCTGAATAAAAATCTCTCGACATTTGAGACGTACAATTTCCTAAAAATTGTTTTTGTAAATGTGTGTTTCATACAAATTCTTCTCAGGAATCAAATTCACAATAAAATTGTGCCATAAAATCGCGAAAACCTGAAAATACCCTAAATTTCTCGATCGTGACAGGAGAATTTGAACTGCATCTTCCTCCTCCGTCCTTTATAATGCTCCAAAATTCATGAAAAAATTGTGCCATAAAATCTTAGAAACTTTTCAAAGCCGAAAAATCCCTAAATTACGGAACTAAATTCATGTTTGTTTAATTAAAAAATTGTGTCAGAAAATCGTAAGAACTAAAAAATTCCTAAAAGTTTCAGTTCCGTTTCCGTCATCCTCACGTCAAATTTCTCTTAACGTGAGAATTCCTATGTTGCAACTGCATCAGAACAGAACCAAATTCGTGAAAAAAATGTGCCATAAAATCATAAAAACTTTCCAAAATCAAAAAATAAATTTCTAAAATTTCCATTTCAATTTCCACCTCAACTTCCACGTTGCAACTGCATCTTCCTCCTCTTCTCGTCTTACTTCCACTTCTTCATCATCAGTTAAGTTTTACTCCCTCATTACGATTATGATTACAACTACTTGACGGAGAAACTGGGCAGTTAAGTTTAACTCGACATTTTAAAGTGTTGTTGTCTTCTCTGTGTGTGTGTGTCGCAGGCAGGCATTCATCCCCCATAAAAGTAATACTAATGGGGAGCCAGTTAAAGGGAGGGATAAACGTAAAAATAAAAATAAACGGAATGAAGTGTGAATAATGACGGGACGGTTTTGTAAAGTAAAGAAAAGTCATTGTCTCCTCCACCACGACGACTTATTCTTCATCCTCAAGAAGCACAAGTCATCACGACCAATTAAACTTCAATTAAAGCCGTCTTAACTCATCTTTTTGCCATTTCGGAGGCAACTTGCCTACCACCAAGTTCTTTTCTTTTGGGTGGGAAAGGACCCTTCGTAAAGGATGGAGTGGATTTTTTGGCAATAACTTAGCCGCTTAGATTCTTCGCTAAACGGCCAAACGTAGGATTTTGGGCTTGTGGAAATTTGCAGGGTTTTATGGAAAAAATGCGTGTTACTAAAAAAATATAGTTTTAGTGCGTCTTACGGTGTATTCTTATTTTTTACTGGGGTTTCCTGGACTTTCCTCCGTGTTAGAAGGTAAAATTGAGAAAATACAAATTTTCCAGGTTTTTGTCACGTTCAGAAGTCGGATTTAATTTGTGATAAAATATGATTTAATTTAAATAAGTTAGATTCATCCAAGAAGGAGGTGGTTTATTTATTCTTATTAAAAATAAATTCGCATCATCTTTATAAATTTCCGGATAAAATAATTTTACAAACTTCATCATCAAAATTTATAACTTTGTAAAAAATGATACATTCACAACGAGGCAATTCACACAGTCCTTGGTAACTTTGCAAAATGATTTTACAAACTTTTACGAAATAAAGGAACGCCCTTGATCTGAGCAAGTTTACAAAAATTCGGGAACTAGTTTTCCTTCGAAATGTTTCCAAAATTTTGTAAACTTTTGTACGTCTACAGAATTTACGGGGGATTTACAAAGTTGCCAAGGCTTACGTGAATTGCCTCATGGTTTGACGTACACATTGCATTAAATTTTACGCATGTAAAACCCTAATAAAATTTAAGTAGTAAAAAATCTACCAGATTTTACAAATTTGAACCCCGAGGTCGCAATACTGCCGAAAACTGACCTTAATTTGATTGCATCTTTTACGCATGGCCCCCTGATTACTCGACGAAATTTACGAATGCTTGACTGAGACAAGAACGGGTAACGAGAAATAAATTGAGAAAAGTGCACATGATTTATTCTCGCGAAAGCCTTTGTCGTCATGTCATCCTCGGCTCTTTGCAAGTAATAAAAGTGACGATAAATCTCCAATTAAAAGAATCCACTGACAAGAACAAAGGACGGGGAAGAAAAACAAAGTTGTCTGACCAAAAAAATTGAAATTTCTACTAAATTCCAGGCGTGTCTGGTTTTTAAATTTTCTCACGAAACTCCATTCTTCATTGACAAGTTGATTTTGATTAAATTATTTTAAACAAAGACAAAGTATGGCAGAAAAGTCGGCATTAAGGTGCTATTGGATATGACGATTTCATGCATCATAAATTTTAAATCTCACTCTACCCCTGCTCAATGTCTGTAAATGAACATTTCTAAAATTGCATCAATTTCGTGAGTTTTCAGATAAATGTATCTTTTCATACTTTTATGGAAAATGAATTTTTTTTATAAAACTGTGGATTTGAAAAAATTGCCAATTCCTTTGACATTTTTAATTCGCTATTTTTTAAAAATCGACAATTTTGTAGCATCAAAAATTAACTTCGATTAAAATATGAAAAGTAGGATTAATCTCAAACGCTTAGAAATTTATGCAATTTTAGAAATTTTCATTTAAGGACATTGAATCGGGGCAGATTGACGGAGTAACCTTATACGCAAATCGCATTCTTTACCTTTTAGAGGCAAAAGTTTTCCAATTTTTACCCATTTTTGATATATTCGACTCCCCATCCATAACTTGTTAAATTCTTCACCTTCTCTTCCTCCCCCAGCTTTCTCTGGAAAGGTGGAAGGCGAAATAAGTAAGTGGTTGATTTGATGTTGTGACCTGTTTGTGAAGTGGTGTCAATTTGAAGGGATTTAAAACTGCACAAAGTTGAACGGCGGAGCAGTTTCGTCTCTATTTTATTTTACTTTTACTCCACTTTTACGTTTATTATTACTACTACGAGCCCAGGGAGAGAGGGCGTCGTATAAAAACCATCCGCACAAAATACCCGGGCATTTAGGAGACGACGAGTGGGTGTAGTCATAGCACATCCGGTGCACTTTAATACTTTCTCCAGTTGTCGTTCACTTGATGGGGGTGCAAAATTTAACCCATATTTCTTACATAACCGGCTAAACGTATGAATACATATGAATTTTCTTTGTTACAATTAATAGCGAGCAGTTAACCTTGAAAATTTTGGTTTACTACGATAATTTTGGTGTATATTTCTCACTCATAAAGCCGAGATTTACATCGATGCAATTCACGTCGTCCTTGGTAATTTTGCAAAATCCGTACGTTTTGTAGCATAATTTTACTAATTGATACAAAATAAAAACGAGACGCCTTTGATCTGAGCTAATTTACAAAAAAATTGTGAACTAATTTTCCCCAGAAATACGAATAAAATTATGTAAAAGGTTACATAATTTACGGATTTTATAAAGTTACCAAGGACTGCGTGAATTGTCTCTATTTTTTCACGTCATAATCATTTCATAAAAGTTTATCCATTTAAATCACGGTTTTATGCAAATTAATGACAAGTTGATTATTTATCTACATTTATCGTATTATATTAACAAAATCGTTGTTTTTACAAATCGACTTCAATGTTCGACACTTGAACTGCATGAATTATTTAACTTTACAAAATAAAAAGCCTACCTTGATATGATCAAGTTTACAAATTTTTGTAAATTTGCTTTACTATATTGTACAAACACAAAACAGTTTGTTTGAATCTAGTTCATACGTTTTTATTCCATATCGAATATAATTTTTTCATGTGGCGTTGAAATTACTCAAATTTCATTTTTGTACCAAATTATTTTCGATTATGTTTGATAACGTTTTTGATAATGGGGTGAAACTAACTTCGAAGTGAAAACAAAGATAAATAATGCCACAAATATTCCTGAGGAAAATTAGCGAACAATTCTATATAAACTTGCTCAGATCAAGGGCATTTCTTTATTTTGTAAAATTATTTTACAAAATTTACGGATTTTACAAAGTTACCAAGCCCTGCGTGAATTTCCACCTCGTTTTCCCTACATAATTCTTCAACCGAAAAAAAGTTGTGCCTACCAAATTTTTCGAAATCTAAATTCCCTGATTTTCTTTATCTCCCCAAAATTTCCACGCATCTGAACATCACCCAGTTCGTTTCCCGTTTTCATTAGTTTTCGCTCGAACGAAACCACAAAACCGCACAAACACAGAGTAAAAACAGCTCAGTGTCTATCGCTAGTACTTGCATTATTCGAGAAAAAGCCTGGGTTTGGTTTTGGACTTTTGTTCCCTTTTGTCTAATGGAGCGGACGGAGAGATAGTGATAATAGCGTCGGAGAGAGTTGTTGATTTAGTGTGGCTCCAGCCTGCTTCACTAAAATTTCCTCCTCCTCCTACTCCTTTCCTCCGGCGGCACAATTTATGACGACGGCCTCGGAAGGGTTGAAATATGGAATGGCTTTTCCCACCAACTCCGAGCTCCTCTCTGACTCTCCATTACTGCACAAAAGAGAAAGTTCCCAGGGGCCGGGCAAAAAGAAGGTCGACACATAGTTTTCCTATGGGTGTGTTTTCACTTTGCGAAAAATGGAAATTTTTTTGCTAAAAATTCACCACAGAAAATAAGGCAGGATTATTTCAAAAACAGAAAATTAACTGGTTAGAGCTATTCAAAACCTATATATCTAATTGGGTGTCAAAATTGGGTGTCAAAATTTCATTTGGATGGGATACAATCTTGAAATTTCGCTTTTTTGGAAGACTTTCTCGTACATTGAGGCAACTCAATAGGCCTTGGTAACATTGTAAAATCCGTAAATTCCGTAAACATGCAAACTTTTATAAAGTTTGACTTATATTTCAAAGGAAAATTAGGTTACGAATTTTGTCAATTTGCTCAGATCAAGGGCGTTTTTTTATTTGGTAAAAGTTTTAAAAAAATTACAAATTTTACAAAGTTACCAAGGACTGCGTGAATTATCTCATTATTCTTTAAATACTCATTACTTCTTTACTTGCTTATTCTCATGTCCCATTCTAGCTCCTAGACATCTTTTCAGTTGGTAGAATTATATCAAAAAGTACACAATTTCAACTTTTGGCCCCAAACTTGCCCAAATTTATTTTACGGAGATTTTATAAAGTTATCAAGGACTGAGTGAATTGCCTCAATAACTTTTGGACGGATATATAGTTAATTTGCGTTTATTTTGTAAATAAACGCAATTTTATTTGTGTTGATTTAAAAAAATCTTACGTAAAAAAACAGTATCAACTAATAAATCGACACCCCTTCTGCAACACCCCAACTCTGAGCAAATACGAATTACAGAGTTAATTTACGAGGGAAATTTTTGGAGAAAGTATTTTTACAGGGGAGAGGACGCGGGGTAAAGTGCTGCCATATCTCTCGGCCGGGGAAAGCATTCCTGTCACGGCGTCGGCCTCCCCAACCCAAGCACGACCACGACCAGAGATATCGCCGCTGAATTATCCCTTTGTCTTCTCTCTAGCTCGCAAAATAACTTCTTTTTTTAACCGGAAAACTAATGAGGCAAAGAACAAACTCTTGAAAACGGACCAACTTTACATTAAATCTTTAGAAAAAAAATGAGAAAATTCGTTTCAACGCTTCGAAATCTTAACGTAGGGCTAGGCTCGTCAAAATCAGCACATTTTTAATCATTTCTCGCCTCTGGGAACTTATTTTAAAATTCTGGACGACATATTTGTAGTCAGAGAGCTGATTAATAGAATGGCGATTAGTTTTTTAAGCCAGTTTCGATGAGCTCCGATTTTTCTGAAGGCTTCATAACCTTGAGATCTTCTCCTTCAAAAAGGGTCAAAATCTGGAGTGTTTATTTATCAAAAATTGGTAGCAATTTACTGACTAAAAATTTGTCGGTCAGAAATTTAAAATAAATTTCCAGAGCCAAGAAATATTAAAAATGTGACGATTAGTCATCGAATACGTTAATCGCTTGTTTTATTTGTCACACATTTTTCTCACCTTTTCTAAACAAGAAAAAACTGCTACGAAACTTTTAATCCCGCGCAAATTTCCCCCAATATTTTTAAGAGTAAAAATATATCAAAAAAACTTTTTTTAAAAACTTGGACCGAGGACGAGAAGACGGGTTTATTTTATCGGGTTGATTTTTCATGGTGTCACTCCACACTTTCTTCTTTTATCTCGTCATTATTTATGTGACGACTTGGATTGCTTTCCGGGCATTGGATGGATGCTGCTGCTCCAAAATTGCTCTCGGGGAGAGAGAGAGCGAGAGAGCGAGAGACAAGTGAATAAAAGGACGCGATGGAGTCAGTGGCCGCGAAAGCCGTGGGGACATTAACATCATACCTGTTCACTTTCATTCATTTGACTGATTATGATACTGAATGAAAATGAATTTCCTATCGTTTGAACGAAAATGACTGAAAGATTCCATCATTTCAGATGAATGACTATGAATGAAGGATTTTTCATTTGTTTCATGGTTCACCCAAAGCTTAATACATGAGGCCAAGTAAGAAATGAAGTCCGATGAAGTGAAATGAAATGAAATGAATTTGAAAAAAATAACTGAATGTAAATGAAAATCTGCAGTCAGACGTCGGGATGACTGACTTTTGAATGAAAACTTAAATTTTGAACAGGTATGACCCCAAGTTAAAGAATAATTTCCAATCAGTACGGTAATAAATTGTTACCAGGTTTAAAAATTACATGGAAAACACAATACTATCTTCATACTTATTTCAGTTTACGAACTATTAAAAAAATAAATCTTGGCATTAAACATAAGCATTTAAAATTCTAGTATTTGCTTTAACATTTTATAAATTATAAATTGTCACAGATAAAAGTGTGAAAAACCGTGAGGACATTATTGTCCCCACCCATCCGCGGCGCCTGGATGCAGTCTCGTACATGCAGAAGAGTCCTTTTTCCTTGCATGTAGATTCTCTTCTCCTGGTCTCGAGAGTTTTGTTACTTTTGGCATTCTCTGAGCTTCATTTCCCTTTAAATACTCGTCATAAATTCACCCCCACACAGAGACTCGTTCAAAATTCGAATCCATTCCTGTCAACTGCAAAGCCTATTTATTACCTCGCCACGCCACGGCAAGCCACGCTACGCCGCTCTCCAGGGGACGGGGCAGGATGGAGGTCATCCTTTTTAAGGAGGGGGTGCCCTTCATTATTCAGGGCAGGGTTGCATAGGGTATTTATTTTCAATAATGGTTTTGTAGGCAGGGTTACATAATTTCGAAATTTTGAAAAATCAGATTAATGAAAATTTTAATCTGTGGGAATTTTGATGGGGAAGGGTTGTAATTTTAATGTAGGAGAATTTTGGAGTTTACTTAATTTTGATGATATGTTTTGCTTGAGGATAGCTTTGCGTCAGTAGAATCATCAAAATTCCTGTAGGTTAAAATTGCAACTTTTCAACATCAAAATTTTCACAAATTAAAATTTTAATTAGCCTGAATCTTCAAAATTTCGAACGTGATATGGGAACCTTCCGATCCAGCACATCCTTTACGAAACGCCCCTCCCTCGAAATACGGAATACTTGATAAATTTAAATTCAAAACCTACTAAACCCAACTTTTGGTAACAATGGAGCGACCGAGAAGTCGCTGGGATGCAATTTGGGAAATATTTTAATGGAAAATAGACACGTATGGGGATTTATTGGATTGGATCTTCTCTTCTCTTGATTTCTTGTGGTTCGTCTCCTTCTTTTTGGGGCGTTCATCCAAAAATGACTAGTTTTGAGACTGGTTTTTATTTTAATAAATTTTATATGAATATTCTTCATTTAAAAGATTTTACAAATCAAGGTCACCCAGTTATTAACGATGAATTATTAATCTTTTATTTCGTTCGGTATGAAATTAAGGTGAAATCACGTGTACATGAATTTGTACCAATTATTAAGGCAATTTGTAAATTCCGTAAACTTACAAACTTTTAGGAATATTTCGAAGGAAAATTTAGTTCCCAAATTTTTGTAAATTTAGTCAAATCAAGGGCGTCTCTTTATTTTGGAAAACATAAAAATGAGACAATTCGCACACAACTACAAGTATTGCTCATGCAGGATTAAAGTCGATTTATAAAAAGTTGATTTTGTTAATATTATATGATAAATGCAGATGAGTACTGGCTAAACTTCACGTGAGGTTTTAACGGATAAACTTTTATGAAATGACCAGAAATGAGGAAAAATAAAGGCAAATCACGCAGGCCTTGGTAACTTTATAAAATTCGTAAATCCTGTAAATTTTTACAAAATTTTAGAAATATTTCAAAGGAAAATTAGCTTACAAATTTTTGTAAACTTGCTCAAATCAAAGACATCTCTTGATTTAGTAAAAGTTTGTAAAGCTCATTATTTTACAAAGTTACAAACAAAATCATGAATTGCCTCAGAGAAACGGACTAAATTGGTACATAAACTCGATAAAATTTACATTTTTAAAAGTCTTGTTTCAATGAAAATTTGGAAACCTACAAAATTTTAAAGACTAAAATTTCCATAAAAAACCGGCTTCCAATTTTATAACCCATAACTATTTCGCAAAAATACTATATTTAAACTCACCCATTTTTTACATGGAAATTTTTCATGCATTTTTCTCTCGTCTATGTAAATTATTTCAACTTCATTTAAAACCCTGCCTCCTTCTCGAAACTTAACAAGCCGCACAAATAAGTACATAATGCATTTTATTTTTTAATGAATAAATGCATATCCGACCAGACCAGACCACCATCATAAATCGCAACATTTTTTTATACCCTGACCGACCGACCGACCGAAGGTAAAGTAAAGGCCTGCCTTTTACCTGGGCAAGGAACCAATAAAGCAGGCAGGGAGCGAAGAAGATGAAAAGATTTGTGAAGATGCTGGGCAGAGATAAATTGCTATTTATTACGACTGGACTGGACGAAAAGGGTGAAGTGAAGGCAGGTGGGTGGGTGCACCGACTCGATTCCATTGGTCGTGGAGGAAATATGTGTAAGCAGGTAAAAAAAACTAGCATACAGAATCTCCATTTATTTATTGGAGAGTGAAACTAATATGAATCGTAATCGTAATTATGGATTGTGATCTCATCGAGCAGCGTAAAGAAGAAAGGGTAGAAATAATAATACAAGTAGTTAATTCTAAATTTGCATGTATGTATGTGTGGAAATGATTATTAATTTAATGTATGTCCCAAATATCCCTACTTAATATAGATGGACAATGGAGGTCTCTCAGCGTATGCTCTGAGATTTTGAGCAAATTAGTGCCGATTAATCACAAATTTAATTAGGATGAAATTTTCAAAATACACGATCTCCCAATGGGCACGTTTGCCAGAGATATTTGCATCCGAAGAGGAGAAAACGCGTCCAAAAGTTGACAAAATTTATTAAAGTAAATTTCCAAATTTACTATGCGTGTTTTCTACCATTTGCAAATTTCATCGTAATTAAAGGTATGAAATTTTAAGCGTCATACATGCTAATGATTTTTCGGAACATTAGTAATAATAATAAAATATAGAAATTGTCACACAAAAAAATAGCTAATTTCATATTATCTTTTGTGCAAATTTATAGAACTGTATTGGCGAGAAAGAGTACTTTGCTTGGGACCGGCGGGGATATTCCTATTTATTCGGACCTGGTGGGGACCACCACGAGCGACTCTGTTTTTACCGTACACATGGAAATTACAGGATTTTTAGAATATCCCATAAATAATTTGGAAGCTATGTCGTACAATTTTGATGGATATCTCATTGAATTTGTATTTTTTTAGTTCATAATTTTATGACAGAAATTTACTGAGCTTAATATAATTTCGCAATTAACCCTAAACAACATCCAGACCTTTTAATGTAGTTATCTGTTAAATTATCCCATAATTTCTTTACGGAATAAAAGTTTGACAAAATTTGGAAATATTTTTATAATAAAACTAGAAATTGAAGGATTTTTTTAATTCTTAAAATTATTTTTAAACCCGTGTCGTGAAGTTGTATTTTTTTGTAAAGTTCGTAATTTTATAATAGATTTACAGAACGTAATATAATTTTGTAATTAACCCTAAACCCTGTAAACATATTTTAATATTATTATCAGTCAAATCTCTCCATAATTTCTGTATTGCGTAAAAGTATGCGACAATTTGGATTGTCGGATTTTTTTAATGCTACAAATATTTTGGAAGTTGTTACATGTAGTTGGATTCATACCTTATTTGCATTTTTTTCGTAAATTTCGTAATTTTATAAAAGATTTATGGAGTTTAATGCAAATTTGTAATTGCTGAAATAATTTAATATAACTTGTCAGTTAAATTTCCCTATGGGTTCTACATGACGTAAACGATGATAAAATTTGGAAATATTTTTGCTGGAAAATTCTAATTGTCTGATTTTTTTAACCGAATTTGGAAGTCGTATCGTATATATAAATTTGTAACTTACTCTGCACAAATACCGTATCTTTTAGTATTATTTAATAGTTAAAGTCATCCATAATTTCCATATGGCGTAGAAGTATGACAAACTTTTAAAATATTTTTATCTTTACGGTAAAAATGGAAATTATCTGATTTTTCTAAACGCTACACATATTTTGAAGTTGTGTCATGTAGTTGGATAGATACCTTATTTGCATTTTTCTCGCAAATTTCGTAATTTTATGAAGCAGCTTAATATAAATTTGTAATTGCTCAAAGAACATTGTTATCTTTTAATATAACATTTCAGTTAAATTTCCCTATAAGTTCTGTACAGCATAAAAGTATGATAGATGCAATCAATACTTTGGAGGCAGCTGAATCGATACGTAAAGTTTGTAATTTTATATAAAAAAATTATCAAGCTTAATATAATTTGTAATGAAATACAAAGAGTGTGACCAATCTCCTAATATTATTCGTTAGTTAAATTTCCCATAATTTTTAAATTGAGTAAAAGTTGACAAAGTGTGGGATTATTTGTACATTAAAAATGAAAATTGTCGAATTATCTTAAATGCTATAAATAATTTGGAAGCCATGTCGTGTAGTTGGATTGATATCTCATTTGTAATTTTTTGATAAGTTCGTAATTGTGTAAAAGATTAAATTTGCGAAAGACACGATCTCCAAATGGGCATGTTTGGCTGAGATATTTGCAAATTTAAGGACACTTCCACGCGGACAAGCCCCACCCCCTAATTTGTCAACTTTTTTACATTAAAAACATTTGGCCTCGAAGTTCTTAAGTTAAACAATTCCAACGATTGAGGTCGCCTAGCGAATGGTCTCAGATTTGAGTAAACTAGTGTCAATCGATCTCAAGTTTAATAAATATGAAATTAGAAACAGACACGATCTCCCAATGGGCACGTTAGGCAGAGATATTTGCATCCGAAGAGGAACAAACGCGCCCCAAGTTGGCAAATTTTACAGTTTCCAAATTTACTGTGCATGTTTTCTCCTCTGCGGATGCAAATATCTCCGCCAAACGTGCCCATTGGGAGATCGTGTCTTCTGCAAATTTCTTCCTAAGTAAATCTATGAACTTTTAAGCGTCATACTAATGACTTGTTGGAACATTCATAATTATAAAAATATGAGTACGAAGCAAATAGCTAATTTCATATCCTTTTTTTGTGCAAATTTATAGAAATGTATTGACCTCCTAATCGAGAAGGAATAAATTGGGACTGACTGGGATTCGTATGTTTTCGTACCTGGCGTCGTGTGCTTCCGTGGACCACGCCCTTTACACGAGCGACTTTATTTAAGAAAATAGAAATTGCAAGATGTTTTACAATCCCATAACTAATTTGGAAGCTATGTCACGTATTTTGATCTATGCTCATTTGTATTTCTTTGTAAAACTCGTAATTTTATAAAATACTGACTGACTTAATATAAATTTGTAATCGCAGAAAGGAAAGAAAAAAACCTGGTAATTAATATTAATCAGATAAATTTCCCCATAATTTTGATTTGGAGTAAAAGTATGACAAATTTTTGAAATATTTTTACGTTTTTTAAGTTAAAACTGGAAATTGAAGAATGTTTTGAATGCTAAAAACAATTTGGGAGTCGTATCGTGTAGTTGGATCGATGCGTATCTCATTTTCATTTTTTTGGTAAATTTCATAATTTTAACGGCGTAAAAGAGGAGAAACTTTTATAAATGTCATAAACAATTTGTAATTCGTGTAGTTTGATGGATATCTCGTTTGTGTTTTTTGTAAAGTTCATAATTTTATAAAAGCTTGACGCAGTAATAAACCCAAGGAAAATTCCGCACCTTGTAATATTAATTGCCAGTTAAATTTTCCCATAATTTCCATATGGCTTAAAAGTATAACATTTATAAACATTTTTACGTTTTAAGGTAAAAATTGAAATTCCAGGATTTTTTAATACTATAAATATTTTGGAACCTACATATGTCGTGTAGTTAGATCGATCCCTCATTTGTAATTTTTTGTAAAACTCTTTGTAAATTCTAAAAAATATTGACTGACTTAGGATTAATATAAATTTGTAATCATACATAGGAATTACGACACCTTTTGATAATATTTATGAGTTAAATTTCCCCATAATTTTGATTTTAAATAAAAGTATGACAAAATTTGAAAATATTTTTACGTTTTTTAAGGTAAAACTGGAAGGTGAATGATGTTTGGAATTAATTGGAATTAAGGATTTAGAAGAGAAGAATATTTCGAATTAAGGATACATTTTTTTAAAATTCCATAATAATAATTCGTAAAAGATGGCAAATAATTTTATAAATGTCATAAACAATTTCTAAGTCGTGTAGTTTGATGTATATCTCGTTTGTATTTTTTGTAAAGTTTGTTATTTTATAAAAGCTTGAAGTAATTTGACACAAAAATGTTATTGGGTTCTCGGGATTCATCTATTAATATTATTAGTTAACTAAATTTCCACATAATTTGTAAATGGAATGAAAGTATGACCAAATTTTGAATTTTTTTGATTGCTTAAATGGAAATCGTCGGATTTTTTAAGTGCTATAAATAATTTGGAAGCCGTGTCGTGTAGTTATATCTACCAATATATCTCATTTGCATTTTTTTGTAAAGTTCGTAATTCTATCAAATATTGAAGCAGCTTTTAAATACAAATTTTGAAATTTTAACCAGAAACCAAACAACCTTTTAATATTATTTATCAGTTAACTGTTCGATATGGAGTAAAAGTATAACTTTTTAGGAGTAAATGGAATAATAGTATGACAAATTTGGAAACATTTTACAGTAAAAATAGAAATTATTTTTTGTAGAGTTTGTTATTTTATAAAAGTTTGAAGTAACTAAAATAAAAATGTTATTGGGTACTCTGGGTTCACATCTTTTAATATCATTTGTTAACTAAATTTTCCCATAATTTGTAAATGGAATAAAAGTATGACAAAAGTTGGAAATTTTTTTGACAGTAAAAATGCGAATTGTCGGATTTAAAAAAAACCTAAATAATTTGGAAGCCCGGTCGTGTAGCTGTACCGATATTTCATTTGCATTTGTTTTTGGTAAAGTTCGTAATTTTATAAAAGATTTATGGAGTTTCATATAAATTTGTAATTAATGAAATAATTTAATATAACTTGTCAGTTAAATTTCCTTATAGGTTCCATATATTTTTACGAGAAAATTGAAATTGTCGGATTTTTAAAGCGATAATTTGGAAGTCGTATCATGCAATTGGGTCGGAAGCTTTTTTATAATCTTTTGTTAAGTTTGTAATTTTATAAAATAATTATCGGTCTTAATAAATGCATGTAAATTTGTGTTTTAGCTATACATAAATTACTAATCTTTTAATATTACTCGATAGTTAAAATCATCCATAATTTCCGTATGGCGTAAAAGTATGACAAAATTTTGGAAATATTTTTACCTTCTTCGGTAAAAATGGAAATTGTCTTATTTTTCTAAACGCTACACATATTTTAGAAGTTGTGTCATGTAGTTGGATTGATACCTTATTTGCATTTTTTGTAAATTTGGTAATTTTATAAAGCAGCTTAACATAAATTTGTAATTGATTAAGGAACATTGTAATCTTTTAACATAACACGTCAGTTAAATTTCCCTATAAGTTCTATATGGCGTAAAAGCAATAAACAATTTGGAGGCAGCTGAATCTATACGTTTTTCGTAATTTTTAGTGAAGTTCGTAATTTTATAAAAACAATAATCAGATTAATATATTTTGTAATGAAGTACAGTGGGGAGTAGCTAAAGAATGGATGTAAACAAACAGATCGGGGTGGGGTCCATCCAAAACAATGTGTATATAAGTGGCTCTATTGACCGTGGTCAGAAGTATTACTTAAAAATTATTGTGTAAATAATTGTCATAAAGAAATAATGAGAATTTTATGGTTATCGTAATTTGATGGTTATCATAAGGACATGGTACCTGGAACATGACACGAGTTTTAACCTCGCGGAATCTTATACATACAACACATGCCTCGTGTATGTTTGTATGGGATTGTAGGTTACTGTGCATTTGTCATAAGTTACATTAGCCGAATGAGTGAAAATGAGTGAAAATAACTGGTGTTAAATAATAAAATAATTCCGCTCATTCGGTTAATGTAACTTATGACAAATGCACAGTAACCTACAATCCCATACACACATACACGAGGCATGTGTTGTATGTATAAGATTCCGCGAGGTTAAAACTCGTGTCATGTTCCAGGTACCATGTCCTTATGATAACCATCAAATTACGATAACCATAAAATTCTCATTATTTCTTTATGACAATTATTTACACAATAATTTTTAAGTAATACTTCTGACCACGGTCAATAGAGCCACTTATATACACATTGTTTTGGATGGACCCCACCCCGATCTGTTTGTTTACATCCATTCTTTAGCTACTCCCCACTGTAGATAAAGAACTTCGTATCTGCTAAAATTATTCGTTAGTTA